AGGACACAGGAGGGCTTCCGTTGGTTGTGCAGAGTCTGGGCTCTCGGACATTGTGGTGCACAGCAAAGAAGCCCTTTCTGGTTCGGGAGCAGACAATGCTCCCACTCAACCTGTGGAGGTTCTAAGGGACATGTCTGAGGTCAGCCAGCTGGGAGGCAGCCAGGTGGGGAGAAACACACAAGGAGACCTCCTCTGCATCCAGGTCTGTGTTGGAGGCACTCAGCAAGGCTGGCTGTCCTTGGGACTTGGTTCTCAAGAGCCAGTACTACAGCAGGTGCTCTATGGAGGCGTCTGGCCACCAAGCAACCCAGAGCCTTCTATGAATCTTGATTGCAGCATCTCCAATCAAGTGCCACCTCACAGTGCAGTGCTTGTGAGTGCAGTGCGTGTTTATCCCTTCAGGTGTCCAACATCTGCTGGGCATGCTGGCTCTGTGCAGTGCCTGCTGCTGGCAATCAGGGGGACCAAGCAAAAAAGATGGAAGACTCTGGGAGCCAAACCAAGCAGGGGCCACCTGTACAATTCCTTTACTTTTACCAGGGAGTCCGCCTGAGCCCCCACCAGACGCTGAACCTACTGGTGCCTTGATCATGGGCTTCCCAGCCTCTGGAATTGGGAACAAGAAATTTCTATTCTTTGTAAGTTTCCCAGTCTCCAGTGCCTTGACTTTGAGCTTCCCAGCCGCCAGAATTGGGAGCAATACATTTCTGTTCTTTGTAAGTTACCCAGTCTCAGGTATCTTGCTACAGCAGTACAAATGGGCTAGACACACCGGCAAGTCCACCTCACCTTCTGGGGCTCTAGCTTGCCATCTGGGGAGGGAGCCCCTGATGCCCAAAAGCAAAGACTCAGACCAGCATTTCTCACGTGCCGACACATACTGATGCTGCCAATAAGAATATGAGAATATAAATGGAGGACATGTGATTTGTGTGTCCCAGCAGAGGGGGCCTATGGGAGGAGGGGACAGTTCAGCTGAGACATGGAGGAGGAGGAGGAGGGGGAGGGAGAGGAGGAGGAGGGTGAGGAGGAAGAGGAAGAGCAGGAGGAAGCTGCTGCCACAGAAGGTTCTTGGGGCCGATGGCTCACACAGAGGAAGGAGGGATGGCAAAGGCCGAAGGTGGGAACAAGCCCTGTGCTGCGGGGTCAGCTGAACAGGCCAGATTGGCAGGAGTGTGGTGAGAGGAGCTGGGGGCATGGCGACACGGGGTGGATTTTGGGGAGGGAAGGAGAGCATCAGAGGAAGCCAGATCCCCAGGAGCAGCGTGGGGGTGCTCTTGACCAGGATGGGGGCTTTGAGATTACTCTAAGGAGATGGGGTGCCACAGGGAGGAGCAGGGTCTGGTGGTGTTGCAAAAAGATCACCCTGGCTGCTGAGGGGGTGTTGGTGGAGCAGGGAGGACGCAGAGTGGAGGCAGGAAGAACAGGAGACAGGGAGGACCAAGGACCACGGAGATGAGAAGGGTAGCAGTCTTGGACCAGAGTCAACAAAATCCAATAATGGGTTAGATTTGGGAGTGAGGAACAAAGGAGAGGGGAGAGAATCCTGGCTGCTTTGTTTGAGTCACCAGGTAGAAGGCAGAGCCCTTTGCACAGAGGGGGAAGCCTGGGGACAGTGGAGGTGAAGGGGACGAAGCCCTCCGGTTTGAACATCTGAGCTCTGAAATGTCCTCGGGGCATCCACGTGGGCAGATGGATGAGTACGTGTGGAGCTTGGAAGACAGGTCACGTCCAGAGACAGAGCATTCATCGGAGGTTGAGGCTAGGAGCCCACCCCCACCACGCTTAGACCCAGCAAAGTAGGAGGCGGAGGAGGAAGGTCCAAAGGCAGAGAGGCAGGTAGAGAGGGAGGAGGTCAGCCCAAAAGTGGAGTGGGGGAGAGGAAGAAGTTGAGAAAGGAAATGGTTTTGAGAAGGAAGGAGAGTCAACTGTGTTGAGAGGT